CAAATATAAGAGGCATTGTTAATTATATTATAGTGATGTAACTAAATGTATTTTATATAAATAAAGGCATTGTTATATTTATAATAGAAAAATGATAGATAATAAACAGTTTATTGCCTAATCAAATGCTTTTACTAGGAGGCAAACATTGTAACAGGTACCTCAAGTTAATGCATTCATTCTCATGTTTTTAAGATTAATTTTTCTTTCGTGAAAGTTTTCATAACTATATATAATTTCTCTCTCTAGACTCAAAATGTTTTTGTAGTTTTTACAATATAATTTGTTAGATCAAACAGTAGTAGAGAAAACATTCTTTTATTTGGACTTGAATTGTGATTTTTTAAAACTGTATGCCAAAAATTCAGTTAATATAACAATAATTTTTTAAAAATCGAATTTAAGATAATTTTTTGCAGATTATCACATTTATATTTACATGCAGTTAACTATATTGAACAAGAGATTTAAAATATATAAAAGTGGATTTGAAGAAAGTTTAATTTGTAATAAAAATTTAAATTATTGCTTGATATTGCAAATATTAAAATGGTTTCTTATATATTTCACTTCTTTTATTTATCAATAAGTTTTCAAAATTAATGAAGAGAGATTTCTTCAATAGAAAATAAGAAACCAACTTTTCAAATTAAGAATATTTTTGTCATGTATTGAGCAGTATTGCACATCAATCAATACAAATATTTCAATAAAGTCATATTAAAAAAAATACTTATTGTGAAGATGATATACTAGCCACTGGGATAATTTACTGAACTAATTACTGCACCTTGTTACACTAATTACAGTGGGATTTTAAAACACTAACGATACTTTGACTTTTAACACCCAAGGATGACAGGTTTTTGACCTGGTTAACATTAGTGTTTTTCTAAATTTTACTGTTAAAGGTGTAGTAAATAGTCCAATATTTATCATGTTAACAAATATGGCATTCAGGCATCTTTCCAAACAAATTTCATTATATATATCTTCTGGCTTTTTATGAAAATTTACATACCAAAGATGAAATACATATGCATTGATACCATTCTTGTCAATAAATTTTTAAAAAGATTCAAGAATTTTTAATTCTTAGAAATGGACTTTTTATTTGGCCAAAGAATCATTTTAAAATAAAATCATATAAACAAATTTGTAAATAGTTCTAAACTTAAATATTCACCAAAGCATCTTTTTATTACTGACGTCAATAAACCTTGGAGTTTTACTGTATTTATTTATTCAATATCGTGTAATAGTTACATATCGTGTATCGAATTTCATTCTACGACATCCATTAGCTATGCAAAAAATTATAAATATTAAAATTTCTATATTATTATTATTGCATAATCATTCATAATTTATTTATTGTAAATTAAAATACACTTTTTATTTGTTGTAACATCAGTTTGTAACCAGCTCTAAATCTTGTTTATTTATGAAATATGCTTAATTAGATATTAATATTTGAATAGTCTTTTGTAATTAGTTTTCCTCAGTTTTATATAGATTTATTAAGGCTTCAGGTTCTAATTCCTAATATTATTTTGTATATAAAATTAAATTTGACATTCCAAAATGTTTTTAATAAAAATTGAAACTACATATCTTCTATTAATTTAAGAATTAATTAAATTTTGAATTTAAAGTGACTTCTTTAGAAGAAAATTGTTTTAAATGCTTCATACTATGAATAATGGAATCTAATCACTATGAAATTTGAAAAGTAGGATAATTAAGGGAAAAAATATATATTTTTCAATACTCCAATATATTATTACATCATGTTTTAGTCAGTCATTTCATTTTTTTACAGTTAAAATAGTTTACGAAAATATCTTGGATTATTGGTGATCAGATTTCAAAATTCATAATTATTTATTGTAAGTTTCAAACTGTGTTTGATTATAAACTTAAATTGTAGTATGGTACTTAGCCGATTTCTTAATTTAAATATAATTGTAATGCACAAAATGGCAAAATATATTTAAAATATATTTTAATTTATTCCAACTTAAATATTTAAAATAATTTATTGCTTTTTTGTGTTCTATACATCAAATCTCGGTAGAGATTTATTATTACTGTTGTACTTTTCTCAAAGATTTTTGTAACTATTTGAACAACAAAAATTTATAAGTAGTAATATATAATTCACAAAAGTTTGAACTTGGATTCCATATATCTTTCCGGTAATTTTAAATGTAATTAAATAGTCTGAATGTTTGATTATAACTAATTCATGTGCATAACTTTTATGAAATGAAATGAGATTATATATACTGTATATATATATAAAATGAGTCTGTTAATCTGTGCCATAAGTAAATATTCCAAAGTCAATACACAATAATAACTATTTAATATCACAAAATAAACTTATCATCTAATATGTTTGATTTTAGATTATAGTCAAGTCAGAATGATCATTCTAAGCTTGGGATTTTTTCTTCTTCATTTATTGTTAGATAATTATTTTTTTATGTTTAAATTTCCATGCACACTTGTAGATTTGGCTAAAATTCTCTACAGTACTAAGTCAATATACACAAATACTAAAATTATTTGTAATCCTAAGACATCACTTCTATTTGTTTAAATGTCGATATGAATATAGTAGAGCATTGGTTATCCGAAACAATTCAGGACTGGGGTTGTTTGGATAACTGATCATTTAAGAAAAAATATATTAAATTAAACACAAAACTGTACTGTATATATTTTGTATCACATGTCTTACAAATACATACCTTACATAAAGTATTATATTAAATTAGGCCTACAGTTTAGGTTGGCAGGGAGGGGGAGAGTGCTGCAGCACTAGCGGAAATTTGAATTTGTCAACTGAAATGCTTTCGGTTAACCGATGTTTCATTTGATCGGTATTCAGATAATCAATGCTCTACTGTATTAGAGATTTATAAATTAGTTTGGACATAAACAAAAGTTCTATTGCTGGATTATTTGTTCAAGTAATTGCAAATATCAGGAAATTAAAATTTTAATCAATTACTAATAATTAATGCAAAAAACTGAATTAATAGAAAATTAAATGATACATTTCAAAACAAATCATTTTACTTATTGTTTGTTAATAAAATTTAATGATGAGANCCTTTTGATGGGAGGTTCTTTGTCCATACAACCTATATCCAATTCCATCTGATTTTCACATTTTACCATATTTGAAAGATCATACTTGGTCACCATTTTGCTGCTGATGAATAAGTGAAAACTGTTATCACTGGGTGGTTGCAGCAATGGAAGTTTTTTGAGGACAGATTCAACAAGTTCAATATACGTTGCAATAAATGCTCAAACAAGCTAAGTGGTTTATTAATGCAAAAAACTGAATTAATAGAAAATTAAATGATACATTTCAAAACAAATCATTTTACTTATTGTTTGTTAATAAAATTTAATGATGAGATAATGCTAGTTTTTAAAAACTAAGCTTATATGGTCATTCTGTAAAAAGAAAAGTTTTTAAAATATCTATAAACTGCAATAGATAAATAGTATATGTATTTAATCAAATATATTTGTCTTCATAAGAAAGAAATTGTGATTTGTTCATTACTGTCATTTATAAAGCTATTGAAAAATCTCTAAACAAAATTATTCTCTATATTGTCTTTAATTTTTGATAAAGTTTTAAAGTGTGTCACTAGGACCTTGATTATCTAATACAGAACTTCACATATATTCTTGTAAAAATTACACATCAAAATCATTCATAAAGTTTAACTTCAAGAAAATTCAAAGATGTACTATAATAATGTTCATTAACTTCGTTAGACTTAGTTTGAAAATGTATGTGTACAACGCTCAAATCTCTGATGATGATTTGGTAAATATATCTTCTCCATTTTCAAAAATTTAATTTAAAATTTTTGATGGTTTTATAGGTTTTTTCGTAGGTTGAATGTATAAAACTATGGATTCAAATTTTATTTTTCTGTTTAAGAATTTAGTATAAATATTAAACTATTATAAAATTTGGTTTTCATCTCATTAATTGATGCAAAATGTGTGTCCAAGACAGATGTGTAATTATATATTTAAGTTTATAATTACATATAATTCAATTTTTTGATGTTAACTCTTATCCTTATTTGAATCTCATCAGAAAAATTTGAGTTGTGCATCCTTAATAAACATAGTCATAATCACATCCATTTCACCACAGATTTAGATATTAATTTTTCAGATAAACAAGGTTTTAGTGTTCATAATTTATAGTCTGTGGTATTTCTTATATACCAAGACTAGTTGTCATAGTCTCTGACTATTTAAAATGAATTATAGGTATATACTATGTATAATTATTTCTTTACTATATTGTGACAAATTGCTTAGAAAATACAGCACTCAGATACTCACTGACCTCAAGTGTACTTCAATAATCTTATGGTAGTTATACAGTATGAAATTATGCATAAAGAAATACTGTACATGAAAAATGAACTAGTAGTCTGTGATAGGAAACTGAATCTTGCACTTAAATATGTTATGAATGTTATGTAAATTACATGAATATCTTAAGAATGTTTAAGTCAGAAACTAGATTTATTCGGATTCGTGATTTTGACTATTTTGTGGTTATAAATACGATGCTTGTTTCAAAAACTCTCGACGATGTTACTTTAGATAATTTAATTCAATGCCAAAAAAATATGATCAAATAAACTGACAGAATATAATTATTTGTGATAAATATAAAAAAACTGTATCACTCTGTACGCTAGTATATTTAACTGCTTCCATATTTTTTGTGAATTGTGTCTGTGCAAAATAGCAAATCTTTTTTTATACTGTAGTTTTTTTAGAAACTTTATATCTTATGCTTTTTATAGCTATAGAAAATTTTTGTAGAGAATGGTGCTGCATCATGGTGCACATTTTGTCAATCAACTGAATTACTTTTGGATGGAAACAAAGAGCAATATCCGACATATCACTTTGATATCGAGTGAACGCCCAATTTCAGCAGAGTTTTGTCGAAAAGTACGTGTACGATAACACTATGAATTGTCTATATTAAAACGTTTATTTGACACTGTAATTTGTCTGAGATTAAACTTAATTTTTGCATGATAATGCTTGTTACAAATTCCAAAGAAATGTCTAAATAAAAACAGAATACAATTTATTCTTTGAAATTTATTTTATAGTTTTTATTTTTACACAAAGCATTTAATTATAAAAAATAAATCACGTTGAAAACAAAATAATATGATGATGAATGAATAATAAAATTTAAGTTTTTACTCCAACATATGAACAAGTCTTTCCAGTTTTCTTAATTGCTGCAAGTAATTCTTCTGAAGACATTGAAGATTCTACATAAACTCTCTGTTTCTCAAGATCAATATCAACTTTGTTAATTTTATCACCTGCACATTAAAAATAAAACATTTTTAAGACAAATTTTACTTCTTTAAATATTTGTTAGAATACATTTTGAAAAAAGAAATATAGGATAATTTCACAAAAGAATAAAGAATTTTAATCAATTATACTAAAAGATTACCACAATGAGAGTTTTCCTAGTCATTGCTTTCTCCAAAAGCATTATTCATTGCTTAAACAGTATAACCTTTCGGAATGCCATATCTCATAAATTGGTCACTACATCTTAACCAATTAGCTATTAATGAGTTTACATTGATGACTTCATGTTAAATGTTGAGACTTTTCCTAGAGTGATCATAAAGTTGCAAGGTCCAATGTAGGTGGGTAGCAAAGACACAGACTGGCAATACTGAATGCTTATATCAAGGTCATATTTAGACATTTTCATTGAGGGCAGAGGCTGATTTTGCCAACTGATGCAAACTCAAGCTCATAAGCATTGTCCTTTGTTTGGTTCAAAATAATTGGTTACAAATTTAATCATTTTTTATTTAAAAATATTGTTTAACATTTGTATTGTTTAATACTTGATTGCTTCTTGTTCTTTTCATGTTCGTTGGGGGAAAATGCAGAAAATATTGTTATTGTTTTGTATGATTTTGCTGACATGAGGGCAAAACAACCATCAGTATTGTCTCCTCTGCCGAGTGTGGGACAGTTTTGATATAGCATTTCAAAGATGCCATTAGGAAAAGAACATCCTGGATACCTTAGCTGAGACATTATTTTCCATTACAATGCCAGGCCAAATTATGTATTTGCTGCAGACCTTTTGATGGGAGGTTCTTTGTCCATACAACCTATATCCAATTCCATCTGATTTTCACATTTTACCATATTTGAAAGATCACACTTGGTTACCATTTGCTGCTGATGAATAAGTGAAAACTGTTATCACTGGGTGGTTGCAGCAATGGAAATTTTTTGAGGGCAGATTCAACAAGTTCAATATACGTTGCAATAAATGCTCAAACAAGCTAAGTGGTTTTGTTAAGAAATAACATACAGAATTTATTGGCAATATACTTTCATTTCTGCAAAAAAAAGTGCAAAGCAAGTAATGCAGACAAAGTTACTTTTTGATCACCCCCATAATTATATTATTTTCCTTTGCAGCAAATAACTTATTACTACTATTATGCATTCTAGTTTATCAGATTTGTATGAACAATATACCTAAATGTAGTTACTTAATCAAATTATACAGAATAAGGCATTTATGTTAAAAGGAATATAAATCAAATAAAAAATTTTGATTGTAGTTGAAATATACTTAAATTTTATTTTTACATAATTAGTCATATAACACAAAGATTCTTTGAGTAAATTCAATTTTTTAATAAGTTGTATGTATTACATTGGATTAAAGTATTACAAAAACACTTTGGAGTTAGAATTGGACAGTATAAATACAAAACCAAATATGAACCTCAAGGTCAGTCCAGCAATAAAAGTACAAGAAAGTCAAACATTTTTTTGTCAACTCCACAGACCTTCATCAGGAATAGCTGAGATCCAAGATGGAATGTTTGATGAACAGCTATAAAATTCCTGATCTCAGCTGTTCCTGACAAAGATCTAGAGTTGACCAAAAACACTTGAACTTCTCATTACTTTTATTTCCAGAGTGAACCTGAGGTTTCTATGTGCTTTTGTACCAATGTAATATATCTAATATAATTGTTACTGTTTTTAATTTTCAGATTGACTTCCCAACAAATTCTTCCAAAAAGCTGTACAATTAACACACTAATTATCTTAAGTACAATTAATACACTGTAATTATCTTATTTATATCAGAAATAAACAAATACAGTGGATGATCAGTTAATGAACAGTTCAGATAGTGAACAAATCAGATAATGAACACTTTCGCAAAAGATTTTTATGATCAGACAATGAACACATGTTTGGATAATGAACACTTTACTGAATAAACATAAAAAGAAGTGATGGAAAATAACAAATACTGATTGATTTTCCATTCTCTTCAGGTAACAATTCAAAACCTTTCAGAGCACGGGAGAAGTCAACATCGAGACTCATCCCAATACAAATCAGATAGTATTCCTCCGAATCTTGAAATTCCAAATCTCTCCCCAAATCCCTCCTGAAAATCCGAATATCTCCCTTGTAATTCCAGCTTTTTGTTTACCTTTCTGACAAATAATTTTTTATAGTCTTCACGAGACTGTCAGATGGGCACTTGTTAAGTTTTGCATTGGGGTTTATTTACAAAAGGTGAAAGTTTAACTGTCCCATCAGATTTTACATTTTAATACCAAATTTTGAATTTTATCCAGGCTTTACATTTAAATAATTTTTTGTGGGCTAGTTGATTTCTGTTCTCTGAATTTTTGTAAGTGCTTTTCTAAACTTTTTGTTTAAAAAAGAAACTGATATTATTATGGATCCTAAAAAGAGGAGTGTCAAGAACTATGCTCACCATAAAAACAAAGTAAGAGATAATAGCCATGGTAGAAAGTGGGCACAAGATGTCTGATGTTGCTTTGCAGTATGGCTTGAACAGGTCTGCAGTAGGCACAATCTTAGCTATGAAAGATATATCAAGAAGTCTCAAGCTGCTAATGGAGTAATGAAAATCGCATCTGAGAAATAACTGAGAAATATGAAAGATATATCAAGAAGTCTCAAGCTGCTAATGGAGTAATGAAAATCGCATCTGAGAATCAGTTTCCATTATGAGCTCTAAATAATGGAAACTGATCTGATGACAGAACTCCAAGAACTCTCAAATGAAGAATACCAAGAAACTCAGTAAGATGTGTTTTCTTTTGAAAAAGAGGAAGACAAAAGAGGACCAATGTCGATATCTGCTACTAAAGATCTTTTGAAGAAGTGGGAGGGTGTCAGAACAACAATCACCCAAGTGACATCCAAACCAGAATAAAGTTAACAGGGTTGGGGATCTCTACAATTACAATACTATTAATTACTTCCGAAAAATCCTGAAGAAAAGAGAAAAGCACGACTAATAAAAATGCAAGACTGCATATATATGTATTTTTACTATTACATATAAATAAATGTAGTAAAAAAGTATATATTTTTTATTTTTTGGAGTCTCCGGAATGACTTAATCAAATTCCCATAAAATCCTATGGTAAATCGATAATCGGTTAACAAACAATTTGGATAGCAAACAAAGTCTTGGAATGAATTATGTTCGTTAACCAATTACCCACTGTATATATATAATCCTCTCCACTGGATTTACTCAATTGTTAAAGAACATTTATAGCAAATTCTTTTTTATTTAAAAATGGGCCCTATGTTTATTGGTCTTGTCCTTTCCATTTTGTAATAATTTAAACATTGTGTGAACTCTCTTGTATGCCCAATTGGTACCTGTATTGTCAGCAATTTCTTTGTATAAGGTATGTAAATAATGATCTTAAATGGGAATTGCAGACACAATAATAATAATAATTTATTTTGTATTATTTTATTTCTTGTTATAAAAATGGGCCCTATGTTTATTGGTCTTGTTCTTTCCATTTTGTAGTAATTTAAACATTGTGTGAACTCTCTTGTATGCCCAATTGGTATCTGTATTGTCAGCAGTTTCTTTGTATAAGGTATGTAAATAATGATCTTAAATAGGAATTGCAGACACAATAATAATAATAATTTATTTTGTATTATTTTATTTCTTGTTTTTATATTTAACATTGTAAAACAACAACAAATTAACCAGTGGTATGTTTTTGTTCTAATTATTTAAAAAAATATTTTGAAAAATTTTTGTTCTGCACATTCCAATTTTGGAATTTCGTTGATAACCTGAGGCAGACCTTGGTTAAGTTCAAAAACATTTGTCAGAAATTTTTTACATTAACTTCCAGTAACAAAAATTTTTAAAGATTTAGTTAAATGTGTTTATTAATTCTTTCCAGTACTGAGAAGGTAATTTTATTATGTACAGCACATTAAAACATTTTTATTTGTATGTTTCATTTACATAGTACAGTATATTTATATAAAAGCACCCAGTTGCCAAGACATCCCATTTTTTTTTCTTTTAAAAACTAGTAGATAGTCTTCCTAATAGAGTGAAGATTTGAAAGAGACAAAAGATGGACCAATATGCTTTTAATTTCTTCCCTGTTTATCACTGCTATATGTATTTGTCTGCAGTCTTTCAAACAATCAGTAGTGTGAGTTCACACGCTGATGTTGGGCATTGTAGTCTAGTTTGAAGTCGTCATTCCAATTTGTCTTAAAGATGTTCACTAGGGTTGAGATCAGAACTATAATCAGGCCAGTCAAGTTCTTGGATATCCACTTCATCAACTGCATGGCCAACACTATGGATGGGTATTTTATCATATTGGAACAAGAATGTGTGGCAACAGTTCAATGAGGATCCAATGTTGGAAGGATTGAACTGTCTAAAATGTCAATGTCCTCACTGTTAAGTTTCCCTAAAATTGGAACAAAGGAGTCCAGTGAGAACCATGAAAAACATCATAACATATAATGTCTTCTCCACTAAATTTAACAGTTAGCACAATACAGTTAGGTATGTAATGTTCACCCTGCATTCTCCGGACCCAGACTTGTCTGACAGACTGCCACCTGGTGTACTATGGCAGTGTTATATGGTACTGTGATGATGAATCTTGCATTGATTTAAATGGCACTTGAACATGCTGATATTTGACTTTTTTTCCTGACTGACTATAGAAATCCATTGCCTGCAGCTTCTAACAGCCATTATACTGACAGTATAACTTGAAGTGTTCTGAAAGTCTGTTCAGAGTATTTATGCAGTCATGCAATTTTGTCATACAATCCTCTTCAGGACTTGATGATCCCTGTCTGTTAGCAGATGTAGTCTACTAGTTCATAGTTGCATACTTAGAGCTCCTACATGTTTCCACTTTACAATAATATTACATGCAGCATGTTTGAAATCTCACAAACACATTTGTTCAAAACTAGCACCCAGCCATTTGACCATATTTGAAGTCACTGAGCTCTTCTTTACATGCCATTCTATTAATATTGATTTGATATGGGGTTTCTGGACTCATCTAAATACTTTTATACTTCTCAGAGGTAGTGTGTAGAGGAAGAGGCAGGTCTGATAGGGTGTCCTATCAAAACCACAAATTCTGCAGGGCAAGAATCCTTACTCAGAGTACATAAAAAAATGATCCAAGAATCATAACCCTCTACGACCCATATTTTTGAGAAAAATGCGAAAGAAAAAATATGATGTCACATCCAGTACATGAAAAATAAACCTTATTCAAAACATGAACATCAGTACTTGCATGTGACATTGTTCTTACATAGAAAGATGCTCAAAATGACCACCGCACATATCAAGGCATGCACGTGCACACCATAGAATGGATGACTGCACACAATCCAGCATTGTGTTGTCCACAAAAGTGAACACAGCATAGAGACAAGCAATCAAGACTTTGTGCAGTTAGCCATTTTATGGCATGTGTATGCATACCTCAAAGCACAGTGGTCATTTTGAGCATCTTCCTATGCAAGCATAATGTCATAGACACGTACTGATATTCACATTTCCAACAAAGCTTATTTTTCATGCACTGGATGTGACGTCATACTTTTGATTTGATTTTTTCTCAGAAATTATGAGTCCTTTTTTATGTACTCCAAGCAAAGATAACCACAAACTCTGCAGAGTTTATGTGGTTTTGATGGGACACCCTGTATACACATGGCTACATGCCTGCATACTTTTGATCATAGTGCAACACCATTACAGAAAAAATGATCTGGTTGCAAATCATTGATAAATGATAATTTCTTAACTCTACACACAATTCATATTCTATGCACCATATTGTAAAACAATAGACATTAAGACACTATTAAAAACTTTTTAAAATGACTTACATTTATTTCATAGTTAGGAAAAAAGATTGAGAATTCTATTCTTACTATACAAAATACAGTAAACCTCACTAACTCAAACTTCATGTAACTCAGAAAAATTTTCTTGAAATATTAATTTAAAATTTCTTGATAATAGAAAAATTATAGTAAACTAGCAATTATTTATTGTGACATCATCACAATGCTGGGTTGCAATTTTTAATCATATGTTTAATTAATTTAAAATATATGCTCTCCATCTCAATTAGTAATGGTCCTGTACAATATACTTTTCCTTTAACAATAGAATCATTCATACCAGTCATCTATCAAACACCTCTCAGGGAAAAATGTTTGAACTGAAATAACATGACTTCCAGTTTGCATCGGAAAATCAGGGCCTTCTGTCCCCTAAGGTTTCCATAGCTGGTCTTGGATTTCATCTAACTCAGTTCTCAAGATTAAGAAAACACAAACAGTTGGACAGACAACAGTGGAAATTTATAGGTCTAATTTAATTTAAAATATTGATATATGCTCTCCATATAATTTTTTCAATATCCAGAAGTCTTTGTGATACCATGCTTTATATTACTGTAGTCAGTAAGTTACTAAAGACTGTACTGTGTACATTGCCATATACTGTACTTTCATGAAATTTTGTAAGCTCATTTCCTATAATAATAAATTCAGCAATATAATCTCAGCTCAGTAAAACTTCTGTATAGAGCTGATTGTAATAAATTATTGTACATACTGTATACANTTTCTCGAAAGCAACATGACGCTTTCTCGTGAACCCCTGGCCATATACTGTACTTTCATGAAATTTTGTAAGCTCATTTCCTATAATAATAAATTCAGCAATATAATCTCAGCTCAGTAAAACTTCTGTATAGAGCTGATTGTAATAAATTATTGTACATACTGTATACATCCATATTCTTATTTTCCAGAATAGAGAAAACACGCCATTAACTTGAACCACCTTCACCTCAATTAGTTCGAGTTAGCAGGAGTTTACTATATTAGCCTTCTGATGAAAGCATTTAAATTATCAAAAATATTTTAATAAATTTTATGCATAAGCTTACATTCTCTGCTGCTATTTTATCAAAATTAATTTTTGATTCTAAATATTTTTGTGTTAACTAAAGTCTTTATTTTTACATAGTTTTAAAGTGAGTCAATTTATACCTAATTTATCCAGAACTCTCTTCACAGCTCCGGAACATCCTTCACATGTCATTTCAACTTGAAATTCATGGGTCTAAAATTGTAATAACAAATATATGTAAAAAATATATTATGTCTACAAATTTAAAATATTTAAAAATTAAGTCAATATTGTCTAATTTCAATATTAATAAGAAAACTAATAAAAATTTCTCCCTATATCACTTTTAACTTATGATAAAAGTTTATAATCTGATTTCTATTTTTGAGGGATATTTATTTGATAAAAACATCTAAAAACCTGTTAATTTATCAGCATATTTAAATAAAATTTTCATATATTATATATATCTTATTTTTACAATACAAAAAAATAAAATAGATTTTCAATACTAAAAAAGTATTGTTATATTTGAAAGCTTTCGTGTCATTCAGAATCAGCAATGAATATTTGTGTAATACAATTTTGTTAAGATCAAAATATATACTATATAAATATATTTGAGGATTAATTTCATTTTTGAACAAAGGAAAAAACTATCACATAAATTTGGTGTATTACAAGCCAAACTTTCTTGAAATTATTTCATATAATATAGCTAATAAAATGATAAAGAAATTTGTAGAGGCTACAACTGGTTGCATTTTTTCAGCCCAATAAGTATCTTTAAGTCAATAAATGTTTCATTATAGGATATAATGGCAGTTATCCAAGAAAGATGCATTAAGTGTTCCAAAAGAAAATATAAGAAATAATGTTAATAATAAGACTAAGTAATGAATTTTTAATAATTTGCAGACGAAATAATTTAATTTTGCTATTATATAAGAAATTATTTCTTTTGCAATTCTAATTTTATTAAAGTGACTAATATTAAGCTGATTTTGTATCTATGTTTAGAATAATTTTTGAACTATGAATCTAAACTTAACATCAGATAGATAACCTTTTGGACATTAGACTTACATAAAATATCTTTCATATTTAAAAATGAATTATAAAATATATAAACAATGTAAATCAGTTAAAATTTTTGAAATTTTTTCACTATTTTATTTCTTTAAAGCTAAATGTCACTAAATTGATATATTAAGAAAGGATTTAAAATGTAATGTGTAAAAATTTTTTATATACTATATATTAAGTATTAAATAGGTTTATAAAATAAGCCAATAAGTGTACATTTAATTTAAAAAATTGCCAGTAAATTTCATTAAAGTACATTACTTTTTTTCAAGAGTTAAGTTTTTATTGGATCACATTTCAAACCTCCAGCATTCAATTCCCACCTCAGAATCGATTTCACCATTTATAAAGAAAACTTATGTAACTATTTAAATTTATTATCATCATCTTTCCTCGGCAACATAAGTGGCAATTTGCCATAATACATATACAAAAATAAAATCAATGTATTTTAAAGTCTAGAGATATATTTACAGATTATTATTTGTGCACAAACAAAATTGATAAAACTGATGTAAGTTTGTCGACTTCCAGGAGGAAACGTTAATCCCACAACAGGATGATCTAGGATCATTCGCGTGTGAGTGTGGCAGAGGAGACACAGATGACAAGAATCTCACAAAAACCAGTTTATTTTAAACATAAAAATAAACTTGCACTAAGGAACAAATATTGTCTAGATACAATCGGCTTTTTGGAAGTCGATGGTGTTGCTGCACCCTTTGTTGTTTATTGTATAGGTGGCCCCGGGGCAGTGTTGTTACACGGTTCGTGAGACTCCGTTGGTCAACAACGGCACGGCTTCGGTATCGGCACCAAGACGAAAAAGATTCGTCCCCAGTTTGTTGACATAGCGCTTCCGATTTTCACACTTTTGACTCACCGAATGTGTCTTGCCGAGTCCCTCGTCCTTGACGATTGGGGATTACATCAATCTCCATTCTTCGATTTGTTTATTCTGATTGGCTCCATGTCTCTTTCCCCCCTCCCCAATTGGTCCCTCAACTGTCCCTAAGCGAAGACGTCCCGTTCGAGTCACGAGAAAGATCTGTTTCGAAGAATCTACTTGACACCATTCGTTAACTCTGGAGGGAAGTGTTGATAGAATTTTGGAACTTGCGCTTATATTTTCCCCCCACTGTTGTCTAGTCTGTGGCGTTTTTGAAATTTAACAATCCGACGCGATGTCCCTTTTCATCATTAACCTTTCTTCTTTCCAAAATTTCTATGTTGTAAACGAGCACCTTGTCAAAGGTCCATCTCTACTGGAGGACATTCGTTTACAATTATGAATCATTTATAATTATTGTGTTCTGTTTACATCAATAGTGTGAGATAGCAGAAATTCCTATATCAGACCTAATCTTTAATATTAACATTTCGCGAATTACGCAACAATTGTTGTTCTTAGCTACCTGAGAAAGTCTCCTGTTACATTTTCTCGAAAGCAACATGACGCTTTCTCGTGAACTACTAACCTCTGCACGGCCGAAATCGTCCGTGAATATCACCAGAGACGGCCGAAAAGAGTTAGTCGCCGTTTTAGTCCTCGGAGAGGAAAGAAATTGTCGTCCATTTAATCGTCACCCATTTAATCGTTGCCCATAGGATAACCTTTTTTGTGTGTGTGTTAGTGCACGATCGAGCCTGGATAAATCAAAAGGGACATTTTGACTGGATAGTCCACCCCCGGATATATCCTGAAAAAGCCCATAAGAAGAACTATTACCTTGTTCTCCGATTCAACACGACCCGACCGGGATATCTATTACCAAAGGTATTTATCACCACGCGAACCGTATGTGAACTCTCTCTCTCCGCGACAACACTTTATCCAATTTATTTTTAAATAAACCCTTGTTAATTGTTAAGTGTATCTGAGTCACTTCCACATGTTGTCTCTCGATCCGACATTACGAATCCGTCTGACCATGTACGGGACCACTCGCACGATGGTGTGACGTAGTTGCTGTCTCGGCTTCCATGTTCCGTTAAACACGGTGGTGTCAATCCTGACAGGGCACCAAGGAGGTGCCGACCCGAAAGGTCACAATAGCATTTTTTTTTTTTTTTTTCTCTCGTCGCGGTTTCATACTACTAGCACAACTAATCTTTGATCCTTTTTTAACAACAAACGATTTTTCTAGTTTCGTTTTAACAAATTACTATGATAAATGTTTAATTTCAGCCATTTTTTTGGAACCTCACACTGACAAAAATATTATTCTATCTTTATAATTTATCACTATCATTTCAGTTTTCAGATTTTATAATAATAAATAAAATTGAGCAACTTAATACTGAAAATAAACTGGTAATCATTAAAACTAATTAAACACTGAGACCTGGATTACATTTAAAGCTATCCAAAGAATCTTTATAGAAGTACAATTAAAGAGCATGCATAAGGCATGCAAGAAATTTATATTTAAAATCATAATGATAAAAAGAAAAAAAGGTTTTTGCAAAGAAAAAGCATCAGAATCATTGAAAATGAAATTATGCTTCGATTTATTATATAACTCATCACGTATAGAAGAAACGAAGCGTTACTAATATTATTCACTTAATTATTCATTGCATAAAATTCACTTACCGAAGCCATAGCTTGGAATTTGCGGGAAAATGATTAGAAAATATCTTATAACGTACAGATCATCGGACATACGATTGCTATATGTCAACACGAAATCGACAGCCACTGACGGTTACGCCCTAAGTGACTCAATGTAAATAAAAATATATATATTAATTAATTCTTAAAATTTGTATTTATTAATATGTTTTGCTTATGTAAGTAATATAATAATTATAATTTTAATAAAATAAAATAAATTAAATGTCATGTAATGTCATTGTTGCCAACTCTTCGGCTTTCGGAATGAGAATCTGCCTTTGGAAACGGATGTCAGCCTTTGCTATAAATTCTTCTTTTTAAGATAACACTTTTCATGCATTTTCTTAACATGGATTTACGACTAATACTAAAAATCTAGATTGTTTGTGTCGTTTTTTTAGAGAATTATTTACATATTGGAGAGTGGACAAAGACAAACATTATCAGATTGCCTATAAACTATGTGGGGTATGTCCTCGTAAATAGCGAATTTAAAGGGAAATTATTAGAATTAATTTGGTTTACTTTGTTACGGCGTAGGCGAATTGCTGAGGGGAAGACTTTTATGGGAAACTGGCCCCTATTTAGGTATTGCTAACGTATAGAATACCCGAAAAAACTCCATGTGGCCAGCCAGATGCGTAAACCCACGACAAACTACCGGTGTTCGGTGGTTTTATGCACTCGGGCCGCTTAAGAGCATGCATAAGGCATGCAAGGGGGCACTTATTAGAATTAAGAAAGTGCCATTTAGAAATGAGAAAGCCCGAACTGTTAGATTTGTAAAATTAAATACTTATAGTTTTCACCAGTGGCGCAATCAAAATATAATCTTGGGGAAACCGAGCTGAACGAATAAAGTTTTAATACAAATTCGATAAAATTTCCACCATATGTGACCGCAAATTTATAAGTAATAGAAGACTGAAGATACGACATAATTTTAAAACTCATTTTATTTACGTTAAGAAAAATTTTTGGAGAATTTATTAGTGTTGTTTTCATTTTTACTTTTGGATATCAGGGCCCCTAGGTTCCACTTCTGGGTTCGCCACTGCCATTGGTTTTTGCAGTGTAATTTACCACTTTCGACTCCAAGCAGGTAAGAGTTCTATGCTACCCGTCGCAATAATGATATAGTGCGAAGTAGACGCGCTATATTAACTATCATTAATTAAATTAAGTGAATATATACAGTATACAGTATATTAATTGTATCATTTTTTGTATGAATAATATATTTTTTAAACTTTTTGCCAACAGAAGACGCCACATGCAAAAGACAGCAAATGAGTGTAGACAGAAATTGATATTCAGTATATAAATTCAATCAATATTTTGCTGTGGTATGTACAGTACATTATCTAAGTTAGAAGTATTATGAGCTCATTATAGGAAACTATTGACAAATCTAAACCAAATTTGGTATGCATTCTGTCTTGAGTATACAATTTCGATTTCCAGGAAAAATTTCTAATTCAAAATTCGGCTGCTGAAGCAAAACTTTGACACTGCTGTTTATTTAAAATCCTACTGAACACCAGTTCAAGCGCTACCAGAACATCACCAACCAACCATTAAACATCTACCCTTGAATTGATTCCATTAGGATAAGCACAGCACACACTTGGACAGACGGACGGACGGACGGGGCAGGCGGAGCGAATGGGAAAAAATCCGCTTGCATTATGAGTTATGGACGTGCGCACATTAGATGGAAGGGCGGAGGGAGATTTTTGAAACAGCGCTATTTCAATCTGTTTGCTTCGAACCGTAAAGGACACTAACATACCCAGCTGTCGAAGCTTTCCAAACCCCACTTATTAGTAAAAATCATTGTGCCCATTTCTTATTACTTTAACCATTAGTTGAAAAAACAATGCAGATGTGACTTCAATTTCTCTAGGACAAAACTACAAAGAATTATATAATTTACATCATCCTTTTCTAAAATTAGGCAGCTAACCACTAATTCTTCGTGGACATTATTCATACTGAAAATCGCCCCGTTTGAATACTTTAACATTTTCTTTTGCTCTAAATTCCATTCGACCCATCACTGTAATGCGATTAAGTGTGCTCATTTCGATGCGATTCCGCCGACCTCATCCGTCCATTCGTGTGTGCGCTTATCTCCATTCTACTAATGTGAGCTCTGAACACCTACTCTTTAATTATTATCACTTCATAAAATAAGTTAGAATATAATAAAAGCTTATTTATTTACTTATATTAAAGGGTTATTTTATTTTTAAAAAATTACATAAACAGGCAATTATCACAGATTTCAAAATAATATCGTAATGTAATCTTACAATATCTGGTATTTTTTGAACTTATATCTGGTACTTTTATTTGGACAATATAATCCTCTAACATCATTTAAAAAACGAATCAGGACCATCGAGAGTAAGGTCACTTCGTTTCTTCTTTAATTATGAATCCAAGTGGCCTTGATCGCAATGACCCAGATGTCACCGCCCAAGAAAAAAAAAGAAGGTAAAAAGAAAAAAAAAAAACAGTCTCTTGCATCGCTGATAAAATTTCATCTGCACAAGTCTCGAGGTTAATAGCCTAAGCGCTATTATATAGATACATGATATATTATTTGAAATACTTTTAGAAATGGCGACTTTATTCAAAGTTAGTAACCATGCCGTTATAAAATCATATCTTTGAAAATTTTTCTGAATCATTTCTTGTAGTTCCCATAAAGTATGACTTGAATGTATTGAACTTGTAAGAGGAATTGATGCTACTAAAGTTTTGGTGGTTAGTTTCGAGGATGAATAGAAGGAGCCATGTGTCATATCTCGGATTGGATCTGACTTAATGAAAATTTTAATCAATATTGGCTTTTAAAATATTTTTAAAAACTCATTTCTACTCTGGAAATTAAGCCTTTTGTTTTTTTTGTTATAATGAATAATATAAAAGATATTTTTTAAAAAGTAACTTCTATATTATTTTGTGTGGAGCCATCTGCTACCGAATGGTCCTAGAATATATTCTAGGACTTTGATCTGTTGGCGCTACACACAGTTTCATTTATTAGAGAAGGTGGTATTATGGAACCCATTTTCATTATAGTGAATTGTAAACAAGGTATCATAACTACACCCATATTTTTTGTACGTAAAGTACTGGTAACTATTAAACTAAATGTTCTTAATAGGATTTTTCGCTAGTGTAACTATAAGTATGGTTTTTGAAGGCTTCTGTACAATACAAAAAGTCAGAAAGTAGGCTTAGGGAAAACCGGGTGGTAATATGGAACTTTACTATATGTTTACAAAAAATGCTTTAATGTATCCAAGAAAAATAGGAAAGTACAAAGAATGTTAAATAATTACAAAATTATTTACTCCAATGTATTTTATCGCAATAATGATTTAATAATAATAATAAAGAAATGTACAAAGAAGAAGCTAATCATTTACAAAAATCACAAATATAATGCTCCTATAGTGTTAGGTATTTATTTTTACTTTTTTCATTTTCTTTCTATTTTTTCATTCATCTACCACATACTTTTACAAAAGTTAGACGGGTTCCATATTAAAAGCACCAATGGGGTCCGTATTTTACGTATCGCCATCTTGAATTAACTTATGTCTGTCAAGACCAAACTTTAAAAAAACGTGAACATCACACAGATTAATATGTATTGTACCACTAAGTCTCTGGAACGGAATACATGCACCAGTGAACCTACAACTACACGATTTATATTTTATAAATAACTAGCTTACCGTCGCGCATTGCTGCGATCTCAGAAGAAAGGAAATTCAAGCAAACTCGTTATGATAAAATTCAATTTACATTTTATTATTTTTATTGAAACTTATTATTATTATTCATTTTCATCGGGAAAACATTTCAGTGTCGTTTCAATTCTATTTATTTATTGGAGTGCTTTTGGATACACGATATTTTTTGTTTTTCCGTCTGGTGCGTACACGAATAAATCGGAAGATTTTTCGACGCGTGAGCCTGCCACATACAGTTGTCCATGCGAGAAGCACGGATTCTCCAAATTTAGCCCACACACTCGCTGCGATTGTCAGAAGCGCGATATTCCCCATTTTTATATATTTTTAAATCGTTTATAATTTTAATTATTTAATTGCTCCTTCCTCTTTTCCTTGGCATGTTGTGAAATTTCTGATAGTTGGATAATAAACCGTTTTATTGCAATTTGTCTTTTTAAATTATTTTGAGTCGATATTAAAATTTGGAAAAAGGGGGATAGCTAGATCGGTAAAAAAGGCGAATTTCTTCCTACAACTTCGGTTGTTGTTTGGGATACAGTTAAGGTTTTAACGAAGTTCGAGCGAATACATAATTAGCAAAAAAAAAAAAAAAAATTGAAATAAAGTGATTAAACAAACATTATTACGAATTTCGTAAATAACAAATGCATATATAGAAATATTTTTTGAAGGGGGAAATGGTCTTCACAATTTGAAATGGATGGAACAAAAACACTGTGCTCGAATGCTCGTGTAAACGCGCGCCATCTATCGTAGGATAAATGTACTTCGCGGGAGGGTATTAAAAAACTTTCCAAAGTTTCATGGCAATCGTACTATGCCACAAACCTTCGCTGGAGTATATTAAACAACTTCCCAAAGTTTCATGGCAATCGGATAAACGGTGTGGTAATGCATGAAGGACATACACACACACACACGCAGACAGACACACATACATTCATTTTTATATATATAGATTAAATTCACTTAGCATTCAAAACTTTCGAATTTCGAAAAACACAAATATGCTAATTCACTACGGACAACCGTTTAACTGAAGGAAAACGGGTTTTCCCCTTGCTATAGATGTCTGCCTAGTGCAGTTCAGCCACAATCCGCTACAGTTCGCCTTTATTATCAGTTTGAAATGGAGGGGTTCCATAATACCTGCAGGGTTCCATAATACTACCTTCTCCCTTACTATAAATGATGTCGAAGTCAGTATTTTTTGCATAAAATCTCTTAACAGCTGGGAAATTTACCGATTTTATCACATGCAAAATTTTTCTCATTTCTTTTCAAATATGCTCTTATAATGAAATATGTGAGAAGACTTCTATGGCGAATATACAATACCTCGGGGACGATAAAAAAAACTCAATGACATCTATCAAGGTTTCACCCTGATAACATATAATTCAACTTTCTAATCAAAGAGAAAATCATGCAATGTGACACCTGTAGCATCAACGAAAGTACAGTAGTAGTATTTTTTTCTTTTTTATTGTTTCCTCCCTGTGGGCACTAAGAAAGCCTCTTTTAGCAAGTCCATTATGGGTTCAACCAGGCCCACAATGGGGCGGTCGGATGGTGAGAGACGGAACACGACATATCTGGACGGACCAACCCCCGAAAAAGTCCTAGGGATTTTCGACCCGTTCGGATTCGATCCCGGGTTTCCCAAAGCGGTAGGTTGTCATCTTGACTGCTCGGCCATCCGACCGGCAAAGTAGTTCTTTGTTTAGTGGAGCACCCAGATAAGGCTAAGGAACCTTGGCATCCTCCAAAGAAAACCGGAAAACACACACACACACACACACAAAATATTAATTACGAAAAGATTTTTGGAAAACTTAATTTATATCGTGTGTGTCTTCTATTTCTATACTACTTATGAATTAACTGTCACATAAGGTTGGACTTTTATTGAATTCGCAATAAAAAGCTTTTTTATCCGTTTAATTCGGCTTCCCCAAGATTAAATCCTGAGTGAGCCACTCTGTCGATTCAGTGTCACGTGCGTATGTAGATTACGATTATACAGATAGCACTTTGAAAGTACCATCTGTACAATCGCAATTATACACACACGTGACAACTTGTTTTTCCCAAGCGATTAATGGAATCAATATTTAAAAATTATTTGATGAAAAGGATTCAGATTTGTTTTAAATTGCTTGCACTTTATTTTTTAGTTTGACATTTCCTTTAACTCATAAATAAGTAGCATTTTAACCCTACCGTTACTCTTGATAACGGTAAAAGGAAACAAACCATAAAAATGATGGATGTAATGACGTCATTTCCGGTTTTACAGCTATTACATAAAACATCGTCCTAGTATGAAATTAGTAAATCATTTCCTCCGATTTTTGCGGTTGTTTTGCAATAACCTTATATTTAAAAAAATAAAATAAACGAAAAAATAAATAAAAGTAGCACATAAGGTAAAACTAATTTTTTTTTATTTCGAAAATCAACCATGCACGAAATAAAAACTACTCGTGTTTAGTGGCGACACCATTTGGATATGACCGTAAAACGAAAATATTTATTTTTGATTTTTCGTTCCGAATATTACGTTATTATTAATTTTATGCGAGTAAAAATTAAAAATAAAATAAGTTTAATCACTGATAATAGAAAACAACCGTAAGATAAACACACATAGATATCGCCAATGTCATGACAATCGGATAGCTTGTCAGTAGGATCCGGTTGTCATGACAATGACGTGAGGCCAGTAAACAAAGTCAACGTCAAAAGCAGAAATAATGAAAGGATCGTAGCATTTGGTAAGATCTGTGCTACGAAGGCGGTCTTACATTCCAAAGATGAATTCTTTCTTAAGTTTATGCCTGTTCATCGGTTTATGTCCACTTTTTGTTTTGACAGTTGTTCCTCCGGTAAGTTAATTAATACGCGAGGCGAACATTTCATTGTTTACTATTTAATGTGTCAATTCACTTTTTGTATAGTTATAACTGATTTATTTTAAACTGATTTCTCACGTGCGCGCATTTTATTTCAATTAATTGTTTATTACTTGGCGTTATTCGCACAATCGCTTATGAATACAACTATTATTATTCTGTTACAGACGCATTTACACTACAAATCCATTCAAACATAATTGGCTTTTTTCTTTGTTTTTTTATTACATGTACAGTACATTAATATGAGCGAGAATTTAAAGAATTGGATATGTAATTAACTGAGTTACGTTAGCAGAAATAAAAATAATTTTGGTTTAGCATATAATAAATATTCTAAAATGATTAAAGATAATGCTTAATGCGATTCGGCCTGGAAGTTACTCCATGCTGAATCACATTAAATGTTATTTTTAATGATTACAATTTCCTGTATTAAATAATTCTGTATCAGATTTAAATGTGTTTTTTAGCTAAATGCAAAATTAATCAGAGAAAATGATTAGTTTTGATGTACAGTTTACTTTAAGAATTGATATAATAGCTTTAAAAAGTGTATTACTAGAAAATTATTGTTGTAAAAATTATTCTGTAACAAATAATTTAAAAACTAACTGACAGTTACAATATGTTGTTTTAATTTTGATAAAATGTTTTTATTTGAAGTAATGTATGTAGTAAATAATTCTATATGCTTGTTTTTATTTAGATTTATAAGTAAAAGAAACAACTTACGATATATAGAAAAGTTTAACAATAATTTTGAATATTGAACTTTTCAGATTCCTTTGTGGTTAAACTATATTAATAAAAATATTTAGGGTTTTCTGTTAATCAGAAAAGTTAAATATAGTATTATTATATATAAAACATTTCTTTAGTAATATTTTTTTTCAGTGTGATATTAGAAATTATCAAAATATTGCTATGATCTTAAAACAGACTAAAGTAGAATTACTATTTTTTATATTTCAAAACATATACTTCCATTGCTTAAATGGTGATTCATAAATAAATATTTACATCTATATGATATGTTATCGTATAGAAATGAACAATCGTATGAGCTTGTGATTGCAGTAAATCAATTATAAATATAGATTTAAAATATTTTGTATTCTGATAACTGAAAATTGAATTATCAGAAGAGACTATTAATTTAGTTTATGGAATATATGTAATGTAAGTTGATAATAGTCATGAATGCTTTAATATGCTATAATCATTTATTGCAGATGATTGACTTCAAAGTGTGGATAATATGATTTATTAATGATAAAAGTTAAAGTATTCATTGCAAATTGCTGAATCATTCTATTTGTAACTTTATTAAAGAGGAATGAAAACAGTTTCCAAATTATTCAGTTTCGTAAAACAATTTCAAAGTTTTACAAAACATATTACAATAGAACTCCAATTATCTGAACCATACTTTCCCTACTTTATCTTTCCCATCGATGTTACACTGCAATTCTCTTATGTTGTGTGACTGCATGATCAGTCACGCTTATTTGCTGTGACAGATCCAAATGATCAGTAGGATGCTACTCATACATTGATGAATAAATAAATACAGTACATATACAATACTGTGCTGTTACCTTGTAATTTCATTCTTTACATGTTAATCCACTTATCTGAATTTTTGATTATCTGAATCACCTGCAGAATGATCAATTCGGTTAATTGGAATTCTACTATATATAATTTTTAGTTTTTAATGATGGGAAACTGTCAAGATGTTAAACTTGTATAGAACTTTGATAATTTCATAACAGATAAGACATTTAACTGATGATTAATAAATTTTCAAGGATAATGATATGATTATTAAATTTCCAATTCACAAAAAGAGGAAAAGTCATTAATTAAAGACAATTTTGGTATAATGGAAACAAAATGAATGCTTCCTTGAAATTTACTGGGTGATATTACAAAGTTTCAAACAGGGTGAACAAAATCATGTCCCCACATGATTTTGTTCACCCTCTTTGAAACTTAATAACTCCTATGTTTTTTGTCATAAATTTCTGAAATTTTGCAGGGAGGTTTGTTTATTAGGGGGATTGATGTTATTAAATTTTGGTGATTAAAGGTCAAGGGGGTGGTGAGATAAAGATTGTATATGTCATCTCTCAGTAGAGTCAGAGTTAATGATGATTTTACTTGTTATTAACATTTACAATTTTTTATAAAACTCATCCCTATCCTCAAAATTAAGCTTTTGCCATTTTATAATAGTTAAAAATACACTGGTGGAAATTGAAAGTGTTATACCCAGATGGAATTTGGTGGAAATTCACGAAACTTGGTAAACATGTACCAGGGGCATACCCAGAAGAAATTATCACAAAATGAAATGAATTAAGCAAGATTTTATTGCTGTTTGGTACATGTTTCAGTAAGTGGTATGCTCACTTTGAGCATGGATACACTCTTGGATCCTTGCAGGCATTGAATCAATAAGTGCTTGAATGTCTTGTTGGGGTATGTCTCTCCATGCCTGCACAACTTATGCAGTCAGTTGTTGTACAGTGCATGCTAGATGGCTATGAGATGAAATCAGTCTACCCATGGCATTCCAGACATGCTCTATAGGGGATAAATCTGGAAGGCCATGCCAATCCATAATTGCAACACTTTGCAAGGCCTGTCTTGTGATGGCAGCAGTATCAGGACGGGCATTATCTTCTTGGAAGATACAGTTTTGGATGGTGTTAATGAAAGGTATGACTACGGATGGATCACCCTATCGACATACTGGCAGAGGTCATTGTGCTTTTAACAACCACCAACTCAGTCCTGCTCTCGTAATTGATTGCCTCCCAAACCATGACACCAGGAGTTGGATCTGAGTAACACTCTGAAATTACAGCAGGGTGGGCTCTTTCTCAAGCATGCCGGCAGACATGTTGCTGACTATCACATTGGCCTAAACAGAATCAGCATTCATCACTACACACAACTGTACACCATTCATGTGTCTAGTTAAATCTAGCAGCACACCACTTTAGCTATTGTTGGCAATGAAATCTGGTTAAGGGAACACATTGCTTGATGCTGGGCTGAGATCTCGGACCCCCATGCAATCAGTTTACAATTGTCTGTGGGGCGACTCTGGCAGTAACTACTGCTCGGATCTGTGCTGCCATTGCCCATCTGTCAGCAACTGCCATCCGCACAATATGGTGGTCTTCATGTGGCGTCATCCTTCTGTGTGGACCTGTGCCAGGTCTGCAAGTACTGGACCCTTCCTGCATTCATCTTGTGACCACTCTTTGTACTGACATTGCAGTATTATCAGTCCTTTGGGAGATTTCACGATATGATGCTCCCATTTCTGAAATGCCAATTATCCGACCTCTTTCAAAGTCAGACATTTGGGTGTACGGAGTTCTCACTCGTCAATATGGCATAGCTGGTTACCAACTATCTGTGGACCAAAAAAATTCATGTTCCCTAACACAGTTCACAACTTATAAACTAAACACTATAGAAATTTTGCATAACAAATGTCTCCATAATTTCCATACCACTGTATGTACTGTACTTCATTTAATTTTTGATCATTCAATACCCTTCAAAAAAAGATTCTTTTGCCCCAATTTCATATGTCTTTGACTATACTGAGTGGGTGTAACACTTTCAATTTCCACCAGTGTATAAACATTTTAAAAAATAAAATATCATAACAGATGGTGCCACCAAATGTTGCTGGGAAACTTAAGCAATGCATTGCTGGATTTTTTTTGTGGTCATAAGGTGTGATAATGAGTAAAATTTATTTCAGGATTTTGACTCAGTATGGAGATGGTTGTTGAGGTGTATTTTGCATCCAGAAATTTAAGGAGGGCAGGGGCATTGTCTGTGATGAGAACTGACTGAGTCAACCAACAACCATTGCAACAGACATAATCAAAGCACAAAGTGATATATGAATTAGGGAGTCCCAGAAAATCACAATTGATGACATCTCTGCCAAATTCACATGTGCCATGGTTGTTGCATACAATGTTGTGATATGACTTCAGTTCCTCTGATACCCCCACCAACTACAAACTTTACTGTAGGCTATTTAAAGTCGTTGTAGTAATGTTTCTTACTTGTTAGTGGCTTAGAAAATACTGAATGGGAATGTTAATTATTTGCAATTAAAATTTAAATGTGTATATGTCATTTCAACTTGAATAACTTTTCATGTCAATGACAAGATTTTCCCAGCTTAAGTAATATAAGCCTGTATTCTTAAATTTATTTAGTTTTACCTTGTTTTATGCAGGCCTAAATAAGGCTAGACCTTATATCATTTGAAATAAACTCCACTCTCATAGTTGTATTATGTATGACTAAACTTCTAATGAATGGAAATGGATCACTGATGGCTGAACAGTTAAGGTGTCAGCCTACCACTCTGGAAAACAGGGAATGAATCCAGACACAAATAAAAACCTCAAAGAATTTTTTAGAGAGGGTCTGTCTTGGATATGTTGAGTATTGTCTCTTACCACTAGCCCCATTGTAAGCCTGACTGATCCCATAATGGGCTTGATTAAAAGTCTCTCTTAGTGCCCACAGGACAAAGAATTTAAAAGAAATGAATGGAAATGATTTTTCATTTCACAAATATAACTTTGCAATAGTATTTTATATATTCCATCATATATGATGAGGAAACAATTAATTTATTATATTTTTTATACTTTGATTTTAATTAATTATTATAAAAAATATTTTTAAGTATAAATTGTAGAATAATATTGAAAATATGATTATATATTTACTTTTATCAAAAATTTTTTTACAGAAGAAATATAACTTTTATTTTGTTTATTTATATAGACTGGTCAGTGTGTGAAAGATGCATACCCACCACCTTTAAAGTAAGATATGAATAATTAATAAAAAATAATTTTTTAAAATTATTTATTGTAAGGATTATAATACTTTCTCTATCTTATAAAAATAATTATTTATGAAATACAATGATATTATTTATTATTCAGTCATTAGTCAACAAAATCATGATTTATTATTCATTAAATTTAAAAATTTATTTACATGTTTAAATTGAAATAAATAAATGACTAACTTGAAAAATATTTGTCATCATACATCAATTTATTGATAACAAATAAAAAAAAATTCTTATTTTCAAACTTTTAAATGTTTTTTTTCTTTCTTAATTTGATTAGAATTATATAAATTTTCAGGAAAAGGTTAATAAATATGTAAAATAATTTTCAAATATTTTCTAAACTTATCTTGAAAAAGTAAAAAACTTAATTGATTGGATTCACTTACTTGCTGACAGACATGTCTTGTCATAGCTAATGCTGATGTCATATAGAGAAAAACAACAATAGGAATTGACATTATATATATATTTCCCACATCCACATCTTTATTATATTAAGATAAAAGCAAGGTATAATGATTTATTTTAATTAAATTTATATCAAAATTCAATAAATCTGTAGAATGGATTAGTTCTTTTTCTGACATATGAACTTTGATAATTTATTACATATAAAATATAATTTTTAAAGTTATAAATCATAAATATGACTCTTGGAATGATATAAATGCAAAATGTATTAAATAAAGAATAATGGTTTCTATACTGGGAAAAAAGTACCAAAACGAAATCTAGTACTGTTTGTTCATTAGGAAAAAAGGGAAATAGAGTGAAAGCATTATAATGATGTAGAAACATCAAATGATTGCCTAAATAATCAGTTTCTATATACTTAGCAGGCTTTGCAATATTTATTATACTTATAAATTTAATATTATATCTTCATTATAATAAGTAATTTTACTAAAAGAGATCAATTTATTTTATGTAGTTTCAAATTTCATAATATTTTTACACACAGTTTTATTACAGAATTAAAATATTCATTTCAAATATCAGATTCATTGTAATTACAAGTAACAAATTTTGATTTATTAGGATTCTGAAAGTTAAAAACATATTGAGAAATTTAAATGTTGAGAAGTTTATATATATATATATTTATTTATTTNTTTCGAAGTGTTCGAATTAAATTCGAACATAAAACTCGAATATTCGTTCGATTATAGAACGATTGTAAACGTTCCAGAAACGTTGAAAATAGTTCGTTTGACTGGACGTAAAAATTCTCTAATTGGTCTGGAAACCGGGGAACCTAATTCTTGCATTCTGTGAAAACGGGTAAGATTGGCTATAATGTTGTTATCTTAATCTTCACTATCGTTACTTTTTGCCCAGCAAAGTGGGTCCTTTCAGCTAGTACCATATAATAACATTTTGCTATTTGGCATGTAATTCACTGAATATGTTATCATGAAATTACAAAGTTACATTTTAAAATAATTTAATAATAATTTAAATTTATTTTATACAAATTAATATATATTAAAGCAAATTTTTCAATAATTAATTTAATAGTAAAACTAAAATAGCTTCTAATCAAATTATTCATATTATTTTTTTTAAACTTAAAAAAAAGTTATATTATTGAATTTTCCATATTTATATTCATGTTATATTATTATTTATATCATCCATTAAATGTATTAATTCTCATATTTTAATTAGGAATAAAGTGCCAATTTATGCTATAAATTTGGATTTGCCACCTGAATTAAGATGGAATAAACTTATAGCTGATAAAAGAAAAGAGGTAATTATGATTAAAAAAAATTAAGTTTTAAATAAAAAGTAATTATAAAATTTTGTATACAATTTAATGTCTTTTGAAACGTTGTGCAATTGATTGTTGAGAGTTTGTTAAACAAAACCTGAAAATTATAAACATCACAAACTTTTATCTGATATTCAAGGATGACAACTATCCAAAGTTTATTATTCTCATGTGAATAATTTCCTTGAACTATTTATTTATATTTATAATAAAAAAATAAAATATTTGAAAGCAAAAATAATTAATTTGTATATTTATTTATATATTTCAGTTAAATGCAACCATAAATGTAATCAAGAATCTAACAAAGTCTGTTTTTAATGGAAAATTCATTTGGCTTGTGGACCATGGTTTGGTATGCTTTTTTCCCTTCATAACTATAAATTAGTAAAAAGAACAAATACTTATAAAAGTATATTTTCATATCTTTATGCATATTTAGGATTTTAGATGTTTTCATATTGTACAAAATAATGGGACTATAGAGAAATATTTCAATCAAATAATTAAAAATGAACTAAATAGATTTAATTAAGTTTCTAATGTACAATATATGAAGTTATATTAGACAGTATTCTATGATACACCCCATTCTTTCAAGTTTAACAATTTGCTTAAACACGACAAAAATTCTATCTATAAATTTATATTTATGTATATAAATGCAAATAACAAATCTTAAAGAAAATAGTTACTTGTTTCTTAGATGAAAAATCTATCTCCAAGAATGCATTTCAATACTTTTCATTTCTTTGATTATTTCATTCTTGATATTCTTGCCTCTTTATTAATTAATTAATATTTACAAGAAATATTTACTTCTTGTCTGACAAGGACCTTACGGTCTTGGAAATTCAGTTCATGATGAGACTTTGCAGGTTAGTAGTATACCTCAAGGGTGTCCACCAAGAAGAATTGTAAAGCACACTAGCCAGAAGATTTCAAGAAAAAGAGCTCTAAAGTTTTACGTGCAGCTCATATACTGGTCGATTTTACACTATGGCAGCACGGTGAAATGGCTGAGTCTGCAGCAAACTTGCTTGCCATGCAGGCTATTTAGATTCGATCCTACCTTTAGCTAACTTTTTTTCTTTTTTTTAAATTATAACACTTATAAATAATACAGTAGAGCCTCAAAAACTCTGCACTCGATAACCCGGCACTCTGGATAACTCGGCCACACCCTGGCAGGGCAAAAAAATCTTAGTTAATTAATTTTCATTATAGACAGCTTTATGCCTCATAAAGTATTTTTCTAAGGTCTGTCTTATCAGGTAAATTACTGTACACAGTGTATTCATTAATTTTCATTTTCATGTAGTAAAGGCTCTATGCCTTCATAAAGGACATACTTTTCCTTTGTTTAAGGGTATTTGGGCAGTTTATTCTCTGTTGTATTCTCAAGTAAACAATACATACAAG